GAATTTTTTTGCGTTTGTTGAGAGAGCTTTCGACACAACGTCGCATCTTCCTCGCGCGAACTAAATACAGTTTAAGTATAGGGGAACGAATTAATAACGATAGCTAACAAAACAACAGAATAAATTCAAACCAAATTGAACGCGAATGTGCAACTGTGCCATGAGACGCCATTTTAGAACATCCCAAGTTAGGAGATAGATCGATGGCGATTCTAGTCGTAGTCTCGGTCTTCGTTCCGATTTAACTACAAAGTTGTATACTACAGATATCATGGACTGCTGCCTGTATGCGAATGATGCATATAAAATAAAATAAAATATATAACATACATTACATAAAATAATAAAAACAATATTTAAACACACATGTGTGCGTGCGTGAGTGCGTGCGTGCGTGTACGTATGTGTGTATGTGTATATATGTATATATATATATATATATATATANCCGCTGCTACTGCTACCGCTACTGCTACTCCCACCACCACCGCTATTGCTACCGTCGCCGCTGCTACTGCTACTCCCACCACCACCGCTATTGCTACCGTCGCCGCTGCTACTGCTACTCCCACCCCCCCCGCTATTGCTCCCGTCGCCGCTGCTACTGCTACCGCTACTGCTACTCCCACCTCCACCGCTATTGCTACCGTCGCCGCTGCTACTGCTACCGCTACTGCTACTCCCACCTCCACCGCTATTGCTACCGTCGCCGCTGCTACTGCTACTGCTACTGCTACCGCTGCTGCTACTCCCACCTCCACCGCTATTGCTACCGTCGCCGCTGCTACTGCTACCCTACCATCGTCACCACCACCGCTACCTGCACCACTGCTACCCCACTAGCACCACCAACACCACCGCCACTACGTTACCTAATTATAAAGCGCGTGAAACTTGCGGGGCGCTGTGCAGCCGACTGCAATGCATGTCCATCACGTATCAACGCGTGATTACGGTTAGTTAGTACGCTCGAAAAGCCGTGTGCAGCGGTCGATAGCGACTCGAAAGGTCGACACGAGTGTCCACGAGCTCCCAGCCGATAGAGCCAGGAATCTACATACGTAATGACTACGCTTTATAGCTAGTCCGATTCGTCGAGGACGGGACATATGACTGCAAGCATTACCGGTCATCTATGTGTCCCTGGCCACGCCGTGCGCAACTGGCTACGTACGTACGTAACGTGATCACGATGTCAACGTGTGCATGGGTACGAAGCAACAGAGACAACTGTGGCGGTTGTGTCAACAACGGGACCAATGTTCGTGTAACATAAGGGAGTGAAGGTAAGTGGAAGGAAAGGTAAATAATGAAAGAGAATGTGAAGGAAAGGGAAGGGGAGTATTGCAAGTGAATGTGAAGGAAAGGAAAGGTGAGTATTGGAAGTGAATGTGAAGGGAAGGGAAGGTGAATATTGGAAGTGAAGGTGAAGGGAAGGGAAGGTGAATATTGGAAGTGAATGTGAAGGGAAGGAAAGGTGAATATTGGAAGTGAAGGTGAAGGGAAGGGAAGGTGAATATTGCAAGTGAAGGTGAAGGGAAGGGAAGGTGAATATTGGAAGTGAAGGTGAAGGCGCAACGGGAAGCGTGAATATTGGATGTGATGAAGGGAATAGGAATTGGGGAAGTATTGGAATGAAGTGAACTGAAGGGAAGGCTAAATAATTGCAAGTATTAAGGTGTAAGGGAAATGGGAAGGTGACTATTGGAAGTTTTAGTGTGTGAATATTGGAAGTTAATGTGAAATTGGGAAGGAAGGTTAAATATTGGAAGTTAATGCTTGTTGAATATTGGAAGTTAATGTGAAGGGAAGGGAAGCGTGAGTTATTGAGCAAGTTAATGCTGAAGGCGAAAGGAAGGTGAGTATTGGAAGTTTAATGTGCAAGGGGATAGTGGAAGGTGTAGTATTGGCAAAGTTAATGTGAGCGGAAGCGGGAAGCAGTATTTGGAAGTTATGTGAAGGGGAAGGAAGGTGAGTATTGCGAACGTGAAGCGTGAAGGGACGGCGAAGGGCTGATTAATTGTGTTCGCCGCTCCTGAAGGTTGCCGGACAGCACGATGATGCGACCGTGCCTTCCATGGACAGTCATTTCCGGGTGGACCCTGTCCAGTGCACAGCCGCACGGGAGCGGGCACGGACGACTGGCCTGTAATACTAGGATGTGTTCTACGGTGGACGTAGCTCACGACTGCGTGACGGCCCGGCAGTGTACGTGCGTATGTAGCGAGTATGCTCGGTGCACGACAACATGTTAGTGCAAGGAGTTAATAACATCAACTAGAGAGATGTTAGATTTTTACTCCTGCTACGCACACACGCACGCACGCACACATATACACACACACGCACGCATGTACACATACACGCACGCACGCACGCACGCACGCCGCGCGCGCACGTACGTACGGACATAGTACCTTCATATGAGTACATGCGTTTACGATTAATTACGGAAGCACGCAGGCATGTATGTTTATACGAGTACATACGTGTACGATTAATGACGGAAGCATGCACGCACGCACTGCACGCACGCACGCACGCACACACGACACGCAACGCACGCACGCTACGCACGGCCACACAGACACTTTACTAGTCGGCGCTGAAGGCGCGGTTGCGCTGCGACTTCTCGACGTCCTTCTTCTCGCGATGGCTCAGCTTCGTCGCGCCTAGCCGGTGAGGAGAGCCCGCCTTTTTTATCTCGGTCATCTCTCGTCGCGATTCCATCAGAATTTGCGCACCGCACACTTGTGCTGCAACGACAGAGACAGACTCGCCACATGTAGACGACGACGACGTACGGCGCTGGCACCCGCGGCGCACGCACGCGCAGACACGCGGCAGCGCGCCGGACGCACGCACGCGCACACACGCAGTCGCGCACGCACGCGCACACACGCAAGTAGCGCAACGCGAGCCGCAAACGCGCGCGCGCGGGCTATATGGGTGGAGGAATGCAGAGCGATCGAAAATATTGTTTTCCTAAAGCGCGATGCAGTGAGGAGACTATCTGCAAAGCGTAGCGGATGAGAGCGAAGCCAGCGATAGCAGCGGTGCATGCATGGTGAAGGGGAGGAGGAGATGAGGATGAGAAGGCGAATGACGATGAAGAGGAGAAGATATATGAGGGGGACGACGAAGCGGAAAAGTGAAGAAAAATAAGGAGGAGGGAAGAAGAAGGGGAAGAAGAAGGGATGGAAATGGGAAAAAGAAGTGACGAAGAATGGGAAATGCCAGCTCGGTCTTCGGAATTAAAAGGCGTGAATTGAGAGGAAAGAAACGAAGAGAACATACAGAGGGAGAAAGGGGGCACATACACAGCAGAATGATGAGGGGCAGGAACACCAATTCAGCTTTCACCATTCGTCTTGCTTCGATAAGAACGTATACATATATATAACACCGGCATATCATCAACACCAGCGTCACCACCATCGTCACCACCATCACTGTCGCCGTCACACACTGCCGCATCGCACACACTGCCGCCATCTATCCAACCACTGCCCGCCACCACTCACCATCTGCGCCACCATATCACACTGCGCCGCCACACAGTCGCCACCACCACTGCCGCCATCACCACCACTGCCGCCATTCATCTACTTCACCCTACTGCCGCCAATCACCACCACTGCCGTCCGCCACCACAGTCTCGTCACCACCACTGCCGCCTATCACCACTCTCACTTGTCCCGCCCTATCACCACCACTGCCGCCGATTACCACACTGCCCGCCTCGCCTTACCACTGTCGTCCTGCCACCATTCCTGGGTCGTTCGGTCACCTTTGCTGCGACATACACTGCTAGCCATACGGGACGGTAGACGTACGTACAGCCATGCGTCCGACGCGTTCGAGGCTGTGTTCGAGAGACTGCACTCATGCATCAGAGCGGACTCAGTAGTAGCGCAGCGTGCTGTGTTCTAAGCCGTTATGCGCAGTCCGGACAGGCGCGCGCGCACTCGCTCCCTCTGTCTCTCTCGTTCCCTCTCTCTCTCTCTCTCTCTCCTCTCTCTTCTTTCTCTCTCTTCTCTTCTCTCTCTCTTTCTCTCTCTCTCTCTCTCTCTCTTCTCTTCCTCCGCTCTCGCTGCTCGCTCTCGCTCTCGCTCTCGCTCTCCGCTCTCGCTCTCGCTTGCTCGCTCTCGCTCTCTCTCTCTCTTTCTCTCTCTCTCTCTCTCTCTTCTCGCTCTCTCTCTCTCTCTCTCTTCTTCTGCTCTCGCTCTCTCTTCTCTCTCTCTCCTCTCTTCTCTCTCTCTTTCTCTCCTCTCTCTCTCTCTCTCTTCTCTCTCTCTCTCTCTTCTTCTTCTATCTCTCTCTTCTCTCTCTTCTTCTCTCTCTCTCTCTCGCTCTCTCTCTCTCTCTCTCTTCTCTCTCTCTCTCTCTCTCTCTCTTCTCTCTTTGCTTTCTCCTCTTCTCTCTCTCTGCTTCCCTCCCCCTCCTCTCTCTCTCTCTCTCTCTCGGCCCTCCCCTCTCTCTCTCTCTCTTCTCGTCCTCCTCCTCCATTCTCTCTCTCTCTCTCTCTCTCTCTCTCTCTCTCTCTTCTTCCTTCTCTCTCTCGCTCTTCCCCTTTCTCTTCTCTCTAGCTTTCTTCCTTCTCTTTGTCTCGCATGCCTCTCTCTCTCTCTCTCTTTCCCCCTCTATCTATCTACCTCTCACTCTCGCTTCCTCACGCTTTCTCTCTCTATCTCGTTCTCTTTCTCTTTCGCTCTATCTCTCTTTCTATTTCCCCTCCTATCTCTATCTATCTCTCGCCCTCTCTCAATATCTTTCTATCTCGCTTTTCCTCTATCTCTATCTTTCTCGCTCTCTCTGTCTCTCTCGCTCTCCCTCGCGCGCTCTCTCTCTCTCTCTCTCTATCTTGCTCTCTCTCTCTGAGTCTCCCTCCCCCTCTCTTCCTTTGTCTCTCGTGCACGCTCTCTCTCTCTCTCCCTCTTGCTCTCTCTCCCTCCCGCTCTCCTCCTTTGTCACTCGCCCTTTCTCTCTCTCGTTCCATGCGACGAACCCGCTCGACTTGATAATTAAATTCAGGCGATTAGACGGAATTTTAAATGGGAAGACATTCTACACGAACAATGAACTGTCAGGACAGCCACGCCGTGCGGGTACAGGTGCCGTGCGGGTGCGGGTGCTGCAGTGACACTGTCGTGGGGGTATGGTGTTCCAAAATCGCCATCGCACGTCATGCGATTCAAATGTGCGACGTCGCGCACGACGTCGCATGCACATTTCTGTTCCATAATTGCCGTCGCGTCGTGTTTTTTATTTCTTCCTCAACCACGACGTCGCCTTTTTTCAACCACGACGTCGCCCTTTGAATCGCACGACGCGCGATGGCAATCTTGGAACACCATAGATCTTTTATTATCGATGATACATGTAGTCACTGATGCGTGCAAACGGAACATGCAAAGTACATGGAGTAATGACTTCTTGTCATAATAATAAAAAATAATGAGTCATTGTTGAAGCTAGCGCAATTTATCGCAGTGACGTCGGCAAGGAGCTTACAAGCGCATGTTGTCATTTGATTTCTACTAATCAGTAATGCACCGTCATTAAATAGATAAATAAATGAACAGCTTGTTATTGAACATTCGCCTCCATCACGCTCTCCCTGAGAAAATAAGTAGATCTGCTTGAAACAGAAAAAAAAATTGCCTAAATTATCCTACCTGTAATGGTATAATTATATTGTAAGCGGGCAAATCCCACACGCCAGGGAAAGTGATGGCTATGCGGGAAAGCAATCGGTGTCAGGGGAATGGTCATAAGAGGCTGCGAGCGGACTCCAGATCAAGAGAGCAGACAGCGCTAGAGGGAACGCAAAAACCGGAAGCTACGGTCATGAATCCCCGAATCCTTGCGGATTGTGACAGGCGGCCGCAAAGGTGCTGACCTGTAGATGACTGTGCTGACACCATGGCCAGAATCGGACCATGGATCCGAGCCAAGGGGAAATGCGCACCCCCACCTTATTCGGTAGTGTAATATAGCAGTTGCAAGGCTCACCCCACCTTATTTAGTACGGCCGGTTGGCCAGAAAGGGAGCTAATACGAGAGGTGACGTAGGAGAGGAAACGCCGTATAAATAGTGGAAGCCGCCGCTTCTCGAGGCTCTTGTACCAGCCACCCACTGAGAAAGGTGCAGTGTGTAGTAACCGCTCTTGCTTTCGGTAGTGCACTGAGACCTCATGTATTGTATTAGAGATTGAGTAAACACTAGTGAACGTTACTTCTTGTCTTGTTTTATCTCTATCAGTATACTACAGACCTTCTACTACGGTAGTGCGAAGAACACACCTACAATATTATAATATATATATCATCATTGTCATTATATATCATATAAATATAAATATATACATATATAATTATATAGATATATAGATAATATCAGGAGTAGATAATAAAAGATTATCTACTTCTATATACTTTATCTTCTATTATCTACTCCTGATAATATATATAGATATATAACTTTCGAAAGATTGCAATTCCGATTCGATATAAATTTTATATATTATTACGTATAAATATGTGTATGTGTGCGTGTGTGCGTGTGCGCACGTGTGTGTGGTGTGTTTGTGTGTTTGTGTGTGCGTGCGTGCGTGCGTGCGTGCGTGCGCGCGTGCGTGCGTGCCTGCCTGCGTGCGTGCGTGTAGTACACTGTAATATCAGAGGCCGGCTAGTCAATAATTTGGTTCGTTTAAATAAGTAAAATTCAACAATTAAATGTATCTTTTTATTCTAAATCTTCACACTGATGACAGCAGGCAGGTTTATATACATGCGCGCACGCACACACAGACGCACGCACGTACACGCACCCGCACAAACCACCCCCCTCCCCACACACACTCACACAACACACACACACACACTCACTCGCGACACACACACACACTCAGAATACACAGCACTCACACCATCACACACACACACCACACACACCACACACACACACACACACTCACACACAACAGCCACACACACACACACACACACACACAAACACACACACAGCACACACACCACACAGCACACAACACACTCACGCGCACACCAAGCACACTCACACAAACGTCAGACATACACACACTCACACACACACACACAACACACGACAACACACACACACCCACACACACACACACACGAACACAGCCACACCACACACACACACACACACACACACCACACCACTCTCCACTTACTTCGCACACACACCCACACCACACACACACACACACAACACACACACACACACATCACGAACACACACACACCCACCACACCACACACTACACACACACACATCATCCCACTTACTCGCACCACCACTCACACACCTCAACATTACACACACATCACTCGCCACACACACGACTCACACCCTCAAGACATACCACACACTCACTCGCACACACACACTCACGACACTGCAGACATACAACACAACACACACACACACACACACAGACCACAACACATCCCACACACACACACACACACACACACACACACACACACACACACTCAGACATACACACACTCACACACGCGAGTTACGTAATTCACACCATCTTTGCCGCCTCGACAAGTAACACACTCCACCTTTCGTGCGGACTAACGCTGCAACGACTTGACGAACGAGGCCAGGTCTGCTGGCTCGAGTGAGCAGTCTCGCTGTCACCGCTGTCCGTGCGACTGCTGAGTGCTGAACGATAGCAAATAACAGACAAATTTTCGTCAAGATCAGACCAGATCGTCTCTCGCGACACGCACCCACACGGCATCGTGATCATTAAGCAGTTCCCCCTTCTCTTCGTCTCTCTCTCTCTCTCTCTCCTCCTCGTCTTCTCTCTACTCTCTCTTCTCTCTCTCCTCCTCCTCTACTCTCTCTCTCTCTCTCTCTCTCTCTCTCTCTCTCTCTCTCTCTCTCCCTCCCTCGCCTCGTTACTACAGAGAGAAAGAGAGAGAGAGAGAGAGAGAGAGAGAGAGAGAGAGCGCAGCAACGCCGACTGCGTGCGACCCGTGCGTCACTGCTATCGGTCCCGACACGACCCGCCATCGTTTTCTAATCGGATTAGTTTGTGCTTCCATTTCAGCGATAGCGCTCTCTGTAATAACGCTCGTGGCTAGATCGCAGCAGAGTTAAGCGCTCCAGTTGTAGACTCTACGCGTAATATAACGTCTAAATACACTCTATACATTGGAATATATATATATATATATATATATATTCCAATGGTTGTATATGAACTCGTGTCTCGAGAGTGCGCAATACTACCATGAGTAGAGCAAAATTAAAGTTGTACTTTAGCCTCTGTTTATTGCATACATAGCCCTCCACTATCTCCACACTCATCAGTGCCTATATACAGAGTGATCTACTTAGAATATCCCGCGCAGTATAAAAACATCATGCATACTCAAAAAAACGCGCCCAACATTTTACAGCGTACCTTGGCGATACCGGCATCGACGTTGCACAATATTTTGGCCGCGAGCAATGAATAATGCGTTACTGTCTCAGACTGTCGGAGCGCCTAACATTTATTTAACAAATTATAAAAGTTCACTTAACGTTCCTTAATAAAAGTTTAACTTTATGTCTGCATTTGCTAATAAGTTCGTTCCTCTTGTTCAGTGTCGCGGTCACAGGTTTGCACCATATGTAGAACTTCTCTGTCAAGCATAAGTTGAAAATATTCTTCGTAGTTTTCGAGTAGTGTGGCGCTTTGCTCAGTATCTTCCATTTAATCGCGTAGTCTAGGACTAAGGTTGTTGTCTTTCAAGTTCCAAATATGTTTACTAAGTTCTGTCGAGTTCCGCTTTGATTCCGTAGTGAAGGATGCCTGGTGATTCGCTAGTCATGCTTTGAAGGAGGTGGCTGTTAGTCCGACGTATGTTTCCGTCTTGTTTTCGCTTTGTCACTTTTTCTTTATATACTATGTCTTTAGCAAGGCAGTTTCCATCCAGTGGGCACGTTACGTTTTTCGGGCATTTTCTATGTTTTCTGTTTCCGTATTGTTCTGCAGTATTCTTCTGTTGTTTCCCTCTATTAAAAGTCTTCACGTTCGGCATGCAGATGTACGAGATCTTAACAGTGTTCTTATTGAAAATCTTGCGAAGTATTGTTTTCTGGAGGGAAGCACTTGTTTACGATTTGTAAAAATTCCTTGCCGACGTTTGTTTTCACATTCTGGTCATATGGCGGGTTGTACCAAATGATATTGCGCGCTCTATTTCTTCCTCCGGTTGCTGCTTGGGGTTTTTCGTAGCGGAGCTTGAAGTTATAGCCGTTGTCGTCTAATGCTTGTTGATATGTGGGCGCCGATTTTTAAACAATTTCCTCGCTGGAGGATATCTCGGACAGTCGCTTGAATTTACAGCCGCTTACGTTATTTCTCTTTATCCAAGGTTCTCCGTTGTTAAACTAAAGGTCGCCGCACACCAGCCGATTTTACAAACGATGAAGCGATGAAGCGATGAAGCGATGAAGCGATGAAGCGATGTAGGTGTGCGGCGGCCTTAAAATCGGCTCATCGGCTCATCGGCTCATCG